CAAAGAAAATCCGCCAGGTATTTCCAATAAAATCATAATCTTTCACAAAGAGATTGCAAACCACCATCAGGTATTTCCAATAAAATCCAAACCGCTCATAGAATCAGAATTAGGTTTGGAAATAATGGTTTGAAAATGTCACTTTTCTCCTGAAATTCTCATCCACTGTTCCTGTTTTCTTTTATTTTCAAAGAAGTATTCTAAATGTAGAGTTTAGGCATTTTTTCACCTCTGAGAGAGGACTTGTTTGTGTTTTCCAAAGAATATTTCTGAATTGAAACAACTTGCTGGCCTGATTACAGTCAATCCTCTGAGCTTGTAAAATTTCCAACTATCTCACAACTTCTTCCACTTCCCAATCAAAAAGGTTTCTTCTGAACTGTGGTACCCAGGTCACCTCATTACCCGAGAATGTGTAAGAGTCAGCAATCGAAGCATTCTAATTGGTGGCACACTGAAAAAGAAGAGGAAAATCTTCTGCCAAAGGGTGGTCCAAGCACCAAGGATCCTTCCAGAATGTGATTCTGTCTCCTTTGCCTACTTTGAAGCTTAAACCCTCTCTAAACAAGGGAAAATATCTGAATATGCCTTTCCATAAAGAGCAGCCCCAATTAGGAAGTGGGTCTCTCGATCTCCAGTTTCCCCACTCTACCCCAAACTTGGCAGCTATTAGGCTTCTCCACCAAGCTCCCCTTTCTGTTGCAAACCTCCAGAGCCATTTACTAAGAGCCAAATTTGTCACCTTGATTTTCCTTAAATCCAATCCCCCCTTCTTCCATAGGTAGACAAGTTTGATTCCAATTGACAAGACGAATCTTCTTTTCCTCCTCCCAACCCCTCCACAAGAAATTCCTTTGGAGAATCTCCAGTCTCTTTGCCACTTTTGCTGGAACAGGAAAAAGGGGAAGAAAGCAAGAAGGGAGATTTGAAAGGGTACTTTTTAAAAGGGTTACTCTTCCTCCAAAAAACAGATATTTTGCTTTCCAAGATGAGAGATTTTTTCCCAATCTTTCAATTACCGGGTTCCAAATGGCTGAAGAAAAACATTTAGCTCCCAAGGGCAGCCCCAAATATTTTATAGGAAGCTGTTCAACCCGACAAGCCAATACTTTGGCACATTTCTCCAAATTTGGAACCTGACCCACTGGGATAATTTGGCTTTTATTAAGGTTGACTTTCAGACCTGTTACTACTTCAAACCAGCTAGGAATCCCTAATAAGTTTTCCAATTGCTCCTAAGATGCATCTATGAAACATAAGGTGTCATCAGCAAATTGGAGGATGTTGACTTTTTCCTCCCCTGGGGTAATTGCAAACCCTTCCCACAAACCAGATTCAGCTGCCTTCTGACTGAAGAGAGAAAGGATTTCAGCAATATAAATAAAGAGCAAAAGAGAGAGGGGATCTCTTTGCCTAACCCCACGGGAGCTCTCAAAGAAACCTGCTGATTGTCCATTTATCAGGATGGAAAATTTTGGGGAAGGCACACAGACTTTCATCCAGTTCCTCAATTTTTGCCCAAAATTAATTTTTTCCAAGACACAATCTAAACATCTCCAATTTACATGGTTGTAAGCTTTTTCTATGTCCAGTTTGCACACCAAGGAAAGTACAATAACCTGTGGTGGATCTTCTGTCAGATATAGAGCCAGCCCATTCAGCATCAGTATATCCCTCTATTTCGAGATTTTCTCCACTCTTATATATCAAGCCACGACTAGGAGCTCCCTTCAAATACCTTACAATCCTTAGACTACATCCCAATGTGGAACCTGAGGTTTTTGCATGAACTAACTCACCACACTAACTGCAGATGAAATATCTGGTCAGGTAATGGTTAGGTAGTTTAGTTTACCCACCAACCTGTACTTTCCAGGGTCTTCAAACTCTTCACCCATATCACTGCTCAGGTTGGTATTTGATTCCCTAGGTGTTTCAGCTAGTTTGGCACCTAATAACCTTGTCTCTTCCAACAAATCAAGAACATATTTTCTTTGACACAAATTAATGCCATGTGTAGACCTTGCTACTTCTATCCCTAAGAAGTATTTTAGTTTACCAAGGTCCTTTGTTTGTAAGTGTTCTTGCATAAAGATCTTCAACCTATCAATTCCCAATCTATCACTCCCGGTAATGACAATATCATCTACATATACCACCAATAAGATCTTTCCATCCTGCAAATTGTGACTGAAGACTAAGTGGTCAACCTGACACTGTTTCATACCAAACTTCTTTACCACTTCACTGAACCTACCAAACCACGCACGAGGAGACTGTTTAAATCCATAAATGGCCTTCTTTAGTCTGCACACCTTACCATCTTCCCCTTGAGCAACAAACCCCGATGGTTGCTCCATATAGACTTCCTCAAGTAGATCACCATGTAAGAAAGCATTCTTGATGTCAAGTTGAAAGAGAGGCCAATCATACATAGTAGCTAGAGATATCACAACATGAACGAAACCAATTTTAGCAACAGGAGAGGTCTCCGTGTAGTTAATACCATATGTTTGGGAATACCCTTTGGCAACTAGTCTAGATTTTAACCGCTCTACACTACCATAAGGTAAATACTTAACAGTGTATACCCACTTACAACCGGCAACTTGCTTACCAGGAGGAAGTGTGGTAAGATCCCACGTACGATTATGAGTTAAGGCAGAGAGTTCTTCCATTGCATGGCGCCACCCTGGAGAGGCAAGGGCTTCTTGGACATTCGTAGGAACAGTAATAGAAGATAACGAGGAGATAAATTGGCGATGGGAAGCAGAAAGATGAGTGATAGAAACATTATTAGAAATAGGATGAAGAGTGCAACTGTGTTTACCTTTCCACAAAGCAATCAAAAGATCAAGATAAAAAACTGGGGTTGTAGCTGGTGTGGAAACAACTGCTGGAGCTGTCGATGGTGATGGAGCTAGAGGAGCCGATACATGTTGTCGATGTGTATACACTTGACAAATAGGTGGTCGTTCAACAGGAAGTTGCACCGAAGGCAAAGACTTGGTCATAGCCAGAACAAGTGGAATGGGGTCCTCAACTAGGACTGGAAAAGGAGGAGGTGGTGAGGAAGAAGAAACATCACCTGACCCCGAGAAAAACGGAGTGGACTAAAGGAAAGTAACATCAACACATATAAAGGAATGTCGGGATCTAGGGTTATAACACTTATACCCTTTCTAGGTCTGGGAATAGCCAAGGAAAATACACTTAATGGATTGTGCATCTAACTCGTCCCTTCTCGGTCCAAGATTATGAACAAAACAGACACACCCAAAAATCCAAGGAGTAAGGGGAAACGGAGACAAGGTGGGAAACAAACGGTGAAGGGAGAATGACCTTCAAGGATGGGCTTAGGCATCTGGTTAATCAGAAAGCAAGATGTAAGCACAACATCACTCCAAAAAGGTTTGGGTACATTCATATGGTGCACAAGGGATCGAGCAGTTTCCAAAAGGTGACGGTTCTTTCTCTTAGCTATCCCATTTTGTTGTGGGGTGTATGTACATGAAGTCTGATGGATAATGCCATGTTGTTCTAAATACTCTTGAAATGGTGTATAAAAGTATTCACGACCATTATCAAAACAGAGAATCTTAATGTATACACCAAATTGGTTGCAAATTTCAGCATAAATTTTTTGGAAAATGGAAAACATATCACTCATTTCTTTCATTAAGTAAAGCCACATCATCCTTGAATAATCATCAACAAAAATAACAAAGTATCTATAACCATTGTATGACATTATTTTATTTGGACCCCAAACATCTGAATGAACTAAAGAAAAATGACTCGACATACGATTATCAACCCTAGGATTAAAGGGAACACGATGATGTTTCCCCAACTGGCATGACTCACAATCCAAAACAGAAAGATGACTCAACGACGGAACAAGAGACTTCAAAACTTTAAGTGATGGATGACCAAATCTACAATGCCACTGAAGAGGAGAAAGAGATGTCTAAAGAGCTGTTGACGCACTGCCACCACCATCAAGATAATATAGTCCACCAATTTCATGCCCTCCACCAATCTTCATCCCCGTCTTGAGATCCTGAAAAACATAAGAAGAAGGGTAAAAAGTGATAGAGCAATTAAGGGACTTGGTCAACTTTCTAACTAACATAAGGTTAAAAGGAAACTTGGGAACATACAAAACTGAGGATAAAGATAAAGGGTCTATGTTAACATTACCAACACCACAAATGGAAGGTGTGGAACCATTAGCAAGGGTAACAGAGTGTGAGGTTGGGCTCTGAGAAAGGGAGGAAAACACACCTGGAGTTCCAGTCATGTGATCGGAGGCTCTAGAGTCAATAATCCAAGGGTTGGGTTTAGATGCCAGACAAGCCATACCTGAGTGTGCAAGAGTGGTTGTATTCTGTTGAGATGTGGCCTGAACAAACCTCTCATACTCATCATGTGGAACACTCATCATCTCCTTCCTGGGAACATCTGTGGATATAGAGGGCATCTGATCAGCTAGATGACCCTCCTGTCTAGAACTAGTATCATTGGTCACCGCATGATTTGCCCAAGTTGAAGGTGGGCCATGCAAATCATAACAATAATTGATGGTATGTCCTTCCATACCATAGTGCATACATCTTCTTGGACTAGAACTACATCCTCTACCACAAACTCCCCCTGAATCTCGACCTCCAATACGCCCACCAGCACGACTATACATAGGTCCACCACCACCACTACGACCATACACCGGTCCACTGCTACCACTATGGCCAGATTGAGCTCCCCGAGCTCCACCTCTAACACCACGGCCTCCCCCTCTTGACACTACAAAGGCCGACTTGTCAGAGATACTAGAATTCTCTGTAGGTCCAATAGAGATCCTCCGAAGACGAGCAAACACCTCTTCTAAAGATAGAAGAGCTGACCCTCCTAGTATTTGTGCCCTTACTGGTTCATATTCAGGTTTTAGTCCTGCAAAAAATCTGGTCACATCTAGTTCTCTCAGTTGTTGCTGAATTTTAACATTAGTGGTGAGGGGATGGTACACATTCAGCTCATTGCAAAGGTTTCTCATGCTAGCATAGTACTCCTCAAGACTCTGATTACCCTATTGTAGATTAAAGTATTTTTGATAAAGTTGATACACTCTAGTTGTGTTGTCTTGTCCCGAATACAGATTCTTCTTGGCATGGTCCCAAACCTCCTTGGCTGTATCAAGGAACAT